GGCACAGTACCACTTGCCTGTATTTCCAGTACTCAGGGCAGTTAAGGCAGGAATATAGCAAAGTTGAGCCCAGCTTGAGCAAAAAATTAGGCTGGGCACAGTGGTACACACTTGTAATCCTGGCATTCTGGAAGGCTGAGGCAAAGAGATCACAAGTTTGAGCCCAACCTTGGCAATTTAGCAAGACTCTACCCCTGCCTCAAAATCAAAAGTAAAACAAAGGACTGGGAATGTAGTTCAGTGAGTTTGGAGTGAGTTTGAGCACACTGCAGTTTGAGCACACTGCAGGACCTGGGTTCAACTCCCAGTAGCACAAAGAAGAGGAAGAAAACACAAGTTTACATTTCCAGAAGTGAGAGATTTTTGACCACAGAAATTTCTGGCTTCATCACTTAAGTTCAGCACCAATAGTTGGTGGGGTGGTCAGCTGTCCTGGGCCTAGCCATCATGTGAGACATCAGTTTTATAGTTTCTTTTTGTAGCAAGATTTATAGTTCATAGTAGCCATTATTTCTGCTGCAAGATAGTCAAATGGGTTCCCTTGTTGAGCCTGTGAGAACAACCCATCTGAGTCCATCTAGACAAGCTGCACCTACACTGAACCATCTGAAATCATCTCTGCCCTAGCCACTGCCCCTCTGAAGGGCTTATTAAAGATGCACACAGCTAGAGAAGGCACAGTCTGGGTTCAGTGGCCCTCCAGGGCATCCAGCCTTAGAGCTGTTCCTTAACCAGGAATTACCTATGGAATGCAGGAAGGAAGCCTGGACAGTACCCTGTTCAAAGGTGCATCCCAATGCCCTAGCTTCCCTCCCCTAAACCCCATCTCATACAGGTCCTGCCATCTCCCACCTTCACCAAGGGCTAAGGACCAAGACAACTTGGGCCTTTGAAGGACATTTATGATTTAAATTAGAGTTAGGTTTTAACAGAACCATTCTACCTGACATTGGAGGAGACCGAGGCTGGCTAAGTAGGAGGACCAATTAAGTGACCATTGCATGATCCAAGCAAAATACAGTGGTGACTTGGACAACAAAGACTGCAGTAAGAAATTAGCTTCTGGATGTAGATAGAAGGCTAAACCACTAGAATTTACTGAGAGTGAAAGTGAAGCCAGGAGTGGTGGCGCAAGTCTGTAATCCCAGAAATCGGGAGGCTGAGGCAGGAGGACCACTACACATTCAAGGCCTGCCTAGGCCACATAGTGAGTTTAAGGCCAGCCTGAACTACATAGCAAGACCTTAGCTTTGGGGGCAGGGGGAGACAAGACAGTGGGATGTGAATGATTTTGGCTGAAGAAACAGATGAGGATGCCCTAAATATCAAGAGCCCCACATCGTGTCATGATACTCCTGACTAGTTTCCCACATTGCCTGTAGGCTCTGTGTAATCTCACCAGTCCTGTTTCGTTGCATGTACCCAGGACTTCAGAACTCTAACTCTTGGCTTGTTCTTACCTCTGTGACTTTGTCTTCTCCGGATGCCCTTTGCTCCTTCTGCTCTTTGGAATGCCTGCTTCCTTAAAATGACCCCAGTGTCATCTTCTGTGAAACCTCCCTGGATCCTGCCATCTGCATGGAGAGTTGTTCTGTTCTCCCGCTAACCTTTAAGCTGAAGAAGCCTGTGAATAAGCCTATGGAGAGAACTGAGATAGCAGGATTTGAGTGGCCCACCACGGGCCGTGTCTGTAGATGAGAAATGGCATCTTCACTCTCACCAGCTCACTGTGACTTGTAAACTTGTGTCTCATCTGTACTGCTTCTTGGGCTTTCAGAGTTTTCTGTTGAAGGAATTAAGCATAGGATTTCTTTCAACTTGAGTCAGCCTAAACTCAGGAACAACCCACATGTCAGTGTCTTGCAGCTGCACGTAGCTTCATGTGCTTTCACCTTGAAACCTGGAAGTCTGAGCAGCCTTCTGGGTTGCTCTCTGGGCCTTCGTCTGCCTTGTTTTGTTCTGAGTGCATTCCAGATGCAGCAGACCTAGAAAAACTCTTTTCTCTTCCTTTCTCCTTTTACTGGAGGCAAGCAGGGTTTTGTTTTGTTTTGTGTGGCACTCAGGATTGAACCTAGGACCTTTGCACTGAGCTATATCCCTCCCACACACACACACACACACACACACACACACACACACACATTCATTTATTTATTTATTTATTTATTTATTTATTTATTTATTTATTTATTTAATTATAGAGTCTCACTGATTTTCCTAGGGTGGGCTCAAATTTGCAGTCCTCCTACCTCAGCCTCTCAGGGTGCT